AGATCCAGACACCGCAGGGCGAGGGAATTTGAATACCAGCTTCTGCTGCACCAAGCAGGCTGGACATATTTGGAGCTATCAGCATTTGCCCAAAATGTAGAATGAAACTGATTTATTTGGGGAATAAAGGGCAGAATTAATATTTGGACTGATACTTGTCATGTGTAACTCCCCACACAAATGAAGGCAGAATCTGAAGAAGTCCTTGAAAATCAAGGCACACACCAGTGTTTTCCTTAGAAGTCCAAACAAGGTTTTCTTTCGCCTTTCATCAGGACTTTGTTTTCAAAACTGCACTGACTACTTTGTTTCCAAAGGCTGCCACACAATTACTTATTTAAAAAAAAAAAGTGACTAAAACTTCTCTACAATCTGTCCACTTGCATTATTCCACAAGCAGGTTCTTTGGGGTGGTTGTTGGTTGGTGCTTTTGGGGGAACGGGTGTGTGTGTTTGTCAATTGAATCCAAATACCATTTTTAAGTACTTCCAAAGGTACTTCTCTGGCAATATCTGTCTAACAATTTAAAGACTGAAAGTTTTACCTCTTATATAGATACATGAAAGGTGAGATCTTGAAGTTATCCTTAGCTTAAAAAGTTACAAACTTCTACCCCATTAGCATTTCCCTTATGAATTTTAAAGCTTCTGTGAGTTTGTGAGGTGTTTAATTTTTCATAAATGTATCTGTGCTCAGTTTCAGTAGTTCTCCCAGAAGTAATACAAAGAGCACTCAGGTTTTTCTTCCCAAGCATCCATTGTTCAAGATTTCCAACTGCTGAAACCTACCCAGCACTGAGATCACCCACGAGCTTCCCCTGCGTGGTTTGGCTGGGACACCCAAATCCTGACGGGTTACTCCACTTTGATCTGGAAGCTGGAGCTTGTGCCTCTCAATCAGGGAATGCCAGTCATGCTGAGTTGTGCAATGATTGATTCACTGGGGAAAAGGGCCAGGTCCAAAACAAGCACACCAACATCTTCTGAAAATACCCCTTTCTGTGTTTTTACTTAATGAAAACATTATATCAAAGAGAAGCCACAAACCAACCGCTTCTGCTGCATTATAGGTGGAGTGTTCTCAGGCAGAGTTCCAGTCCCAGCCAATAATTCAAAACTCTCATGTAAATAAAGCTCAGGGCAATGTGGAATAAACAGGCAAGACAACACTTGCAGTAACGTAGATACTGTTCCAAGAGACAATGTCACTACTTACAGCATCTGTGAAGGAGCATTTCGAAAAAGGTAAGTCTGGGAAAAACAAGCAACTGAGAGCAGGACAGGGGAGATCTGCTCCAGTCACCAGGGACTGCAACCACTGGGAAAAGCAACAGCAATTTTTATGGTGACAACATTCTTCTGACTACCAGCAAGCCCATGTCCCAAGATTAGATGTTCATCTTCCTACAGGGGAGAGTAACTCATCACCAACTCTTCATAAAACCAAGGAAAATTGGCTTGATCCTTATTTTTACCAGTAACAAGCACCATCTTTTCCTAACACCAGGCCACTGGCTCTGCTGTGTAGGTAAGCAAGACACACTTAAGCCCGAGTGGAACTGGCACCTTGTTAAGGTGAAGGTAAAAGCTTTAAACGCAATAACAACGTGCCCGTGTCATTTATTTTCCAGTTCTGTCTGTCAGCAATTTTTCTAATTACTGAAGCACCTTTAAGCATGATGTAGCTCTACTGACTGGGCAGACATAAACAAAGCTTGCCTTTCATATACTGCCTGAAAGAATATGCATTTGTTTACCTTGCCTGTCTGGAGAAGGGCTCCAGTTACCTGCAAAAGTTGAAACAGGTGAGCTTTCTGAGGCCTGGCATGGCAAACTGTAAGTCACTCCTAAGAAGTTCTTTTCAGCTCTTCTCACCTGGTGAACTGTCATCTCCTAGATATACAGAATAGGGCACTATAAACCCAGAGAGCTGGCTTCTTGTTTCTCTATTCAGACATGAAACTAGGAGAGATCATGAGGAGAGAAAAAAAAAATCAAATAAACTTCAGTATAAAGAATGCACACAACCACTAAATTCTACCTAGTTTAGGAACTTCAATGCAACTTGGTTATTTGGGCCACTTACCACATCAGACAAGTGTTTCACCAAGAGGCTGCTCACAAAGACGTCTGCAAAACTTGTTTTATACTTACTACTTTTCTTGGAGAGATTTATTTGAGACACTGTTAGTGAGGGATTATTCCACATCATCAACCACTTTATTTGTCTCAAAGTAAGTGGCCTTTTAAATTATCTTCAGAATTTTGAGACAAAAGAAAAAAAATGCACAGGAGCCTGTTCATATTTCTGTCATTCCTGTAATGATTACCCGAAATGCACAAATATTCAGAAGTGACACAAAAGATCCAATAGCCCAAGACTTGGAATTGTAAAGATCTGGGCCAGGCCTGGATCACATAAAAGATGCAGCACCAAAATTCTCATCAGCTAACCTCAAGGTGATTTACATATAAACAATATTTTTTAAAAAAAGTAATTTATTCTCACAGTGGACATTAGAATGCTGAATAAAAAAAATAAATCAGCTATAACATAGAAATTGAAAAACACTTGTTGCTTATTTATGAACATGAAATGGGAAAAGTAGCCCAGCAGCACACAGTTGAGGAATGAAATCATTAGCCAGTTCTCCCCATAAACTCGAAGTTAAAGGAATCAACTTTACTCTTCCTTGAAGAAAGATGTAATGGTGTACAAGCCAAAGAAAACTTAGACAAGTTTGTTGCCTTTGTTTCCTTTTGCTTCTGTTTTGGTTTGTTCTCAAGTCGAGCCTGCAGCTCTTGTTCAAAATAAGTGGGTTTTTTGGTCACAACTCAGTGCTCTTTAAGCACTCACAGCTCTCCACAAAGCCAAGATGCAACTGAAAATGGGCAGGTGCCTTAAGGAGAAATTCTACCACTTTGGGATCTCCCTGTGGGACAGCACAGCTGAACTTCAAAAACTTATATAATGCCCTTATAAACTGCTAAAGAAAGAGGTGGCAAATGATGACTTGTCTCTTTTTTCCAGTAATAGGTAAAAAATGAATGGTATCTGAGCAAAACCTGGGCATGTTTTATATGCACAAGGACAGAGCAAGCTCTGTAGGGTGCTCAGTGAAAAAGTGTGAAAAGGAGTTGCAAAAGTCTTTGGCTCGAATCAATACATGGACAATGATTTACTTACAAACACACAGAAGGCTACTGCTTCCCCCCCATCATTTACCACGAGTTATCTACTGCTAAAGCCTCTTGTCTCAAGTCTATCCAGCTCCACTGGCTCATCCCTTCACCCCCAGCAAAACCTACAAAAGCAAACAGAGTGTCTCCTGCTGAGACGTGACCCTCCCAAATCCTGGCAGTCACCAGAAATAACCTTCTCACCTTCACAATTCCCATATGCTACAGGACATTGCAGGGGACAGTCACAGCCCTCCCTCGTGAGGACAGGGCATTTTTGCTCATGAAGAGAACGAGTTGTTAGAAGAAAAACCCTCCACCACACACGTGGATCACGCTCTGTGATGCCAACCTGAGATCATTTCCTCTTACTCACTTCCTAAATCAAAACTCCTCCTTTCTCGAGCATAAGTTCTTTCGGTTATTAACCCTCTCCCCCAGCTTCATCTCTCAGGTATTTCAGACAGTCAAGTCCTTCTTCAAATGATCTTTAGTGCTCCAATCCCAACGAACAGGGGGTTCTTAAATTAAAGATACTGCTTTTTAATACCCCACATAAAGACTAATACGCATTAATTAATCTAAACATGCTGCAAAACAATTAAGTAATTTGCAAGACGTGCAGCTCGAACCGTCTGAAGCCTAAACAAGTGCGATCCCAAGGACCAGAGGAAGGCCTCTTTTCTTCAAAACCGAAACCAAAAGCAGCACGAGGCTCATAAAAGCACCTTCAACCCTCAGGCACGCTGCTTCAGCGCAGAGCAGGTGAAAATAACACAGCTGGATAAAACAGATGGGTGTGAGGAGGACGATGAAGCCTTTACATCTCCTAGAAGACTTGTCCAGGTGTTAGGAGGGCCCGGCACGGAGCCACATCACCCAGGAGCAGCAGGAGCCCTCTTTCCATCCCCTTTCCCAACGGGAAAGCGGGCGATGCCTCCCAAGCAGGAGAAGGAGCAGCTCCCCATGGGCAGCGAACGGGGGGGCAGGGAGGAGGCAACAACACTCTGCGGCCACCCCTGTGCCCCGAGGGGTGCGGGGACGTCCCGTCCCCGCACCCCTCGGGGCACAGGGGGAGCCGCTCCCACCGCCCTCCCCGCGGGGGAACCCGGCCCCGCTGCGGGCCCGAACCCCCGGGAAGGGGCGGCTCCGGGAAAGAGGCGGCCCAGGGGGACACCCCACCGCGCCCAGGCCTCCCCAGTACCCCCCTCACGCTCCCCCCTCCCCAGCCCGAACCCCCCCCTCCCCTCAGGCCGCCCCCCCCTTACGTGTTGTCCTGGTTGAAGTTGGCGAACAGCAGATGGCCGCTGCCGGCGTCGCCGCTCTGCCCGGCCAAGTTCATGGCGGGCGGGACGGCCCTCGCCGCCCCCCCGTCCGGCGGGGGAGGTGGGGGGGGAAAGGGCGAAGCGAGAGCCCCCCGGGGAAGGCCGCGCCGCTCACCCGCGGCCGCGCCGGCCCCGCCGCATCCCCGCCGGGCCCTTGTTTACGCGGCGGGCGGCGGAGCGGGGACCCCGCGCCTGCGCCCTCCCGGCCGCCGTACGCCCCGCCCGCGCCTGCGCGCGGCGGCTCCGCCCCCGCGAAGCTGAGCAGGCCCCGCCGCGGTCGGAGCGCGGATGGGTGACCCGCAGCCCGCCCCAGGGTGGTGGTGGGGGGTGTCCCCGCTGGTCCCCGACCCGCCCGCGGTCGCCACCGCCCTGCCGCGGTCGCCACGGGGGTCACACCCCTCTTCTCCCCCTACGGGGGTCACACCCCCTCTCGGTCCCCGCCCCCCCGGGGGCCGCTGCAGTTCCGCTTCGGGCCGCTGGGTGTCCCCGAGGCTCAGCGGATGAGGAGCGTGTGGGGGGCGGCACCGGGATTTGGGAGAGAAAAAAAAAAAAAAAAAAAAAAAAAAAAAAAAAAAAAAAAAGTTGGGCGTGGAGAAGAGAACGGTGGGGAGATGTTATAGCACCTTCCAGTGTCCGAAGAGGCTGCAGGGAAGCTGGAGAGGGGAGGTGTAGTCGTAGAACAACGAGTGATGGGTTCAAACAGAATGGGGAAATAAAGGTTAAATATACAGAAGGAATTCTTCACTGCGATGATGGTGAGGCACTGGAACAGGTTGCCCAGGGAGGTCGTGGATGCCCCATCCCTGAGTGTTCAAAGCCGGGTTGGATAAGGTGGGAGATGTCCATGGCAGGGGGTTGGGATTTGAAAATATTTAAGGTCCATTCCAACTCCTTAAAAATGATTCTGTGACTCTGCTGCTCCTGGCACAGCCTCTTCCAGGGAGCTCTCTGTGTGCAGTGGCCTTGTCGTGGCCTCACTGGAGACACTCCAGAACCGTCTGGATGCAATCCTGTGCCATGTGCTCTGGGATGACCCTGCTTGAGCAGGGAGGCTGCACCAGATGACCCACAGAGGCGCAGGATGCCAGATCCAGGGAGCAGCCTGTCAGGAGAGAACACAAACTGCGGGAAAAAGAGAAAAATAACTGAACTAGGGATGTCTGGAAATGGGATCGAAACCAAGGGATTGGTATGGAAAAGAGTGAATCTTGGGAAATGAGCCACTGAGTGTTGGTTTGTGCCTCTGGGGCCGGTTTGTCCCAGAGGATTCATGAGTGATGCACATGCAGCAGTGGGGAGTGATGGGGCCTCCTTTCTCACCAGCCCCCCGAGGTATCAGGGACTCCCTGGGGTCTCCCATGTTTAACCACCATCCAGTTGCTGACCAGGAGACTCCTACAAATGGCTTAAACCTGAGTGGCTGTGCCCCAGCACCCTGCTGCCCCATGTCCACCCTGCTGCCCCGTGTCCACCCTGCTGCCCCGTGTCCACCCTGCTGCCCCGTGTCCACCCTGCTGCCCCATGTCCACCCTGCCACAGCCACCCAGAGCCGGTGCTGTCCCCCGCACTGCCCCCCACATTCATCTCTGCCTCTGCTACACCTGCTGCCAACCCATCCACGTGTCCCACAACTCTTTCTACCCATCCAGAATTTATTTTCTCCTGGGGAGGCTTTTCCTGCTAATGGTTGATTTTAATCTCAAGCATTAATCTCGGCATTTTAATGTGCAGGAAAACGTCCCTCCCTGGAAAGGTGGGATTACAGTGTGCCCTGCCAGGAGAGCCCAACCCCCATCATCACACCCAAAGGTGTGGATATTCACACCCTTCACAGCTGGGATCCTGCTGGAACCACCAGGAGTGGGGGACAA